AGAAAGGAAATAAGAGATCTCGACGAAAATAACACTTTCTGATAAGATAACTCACACAGAGAAGAAAAAAAAAGAATTAGGATTGGTGGTCGATTTGTTGTTCTATTTGATATTGCCTTTTTTCACATGTTCCGATTGAAGAAACAGACCAAAACGTATAAAGAAAGGACTCAAAAATCATTGAGTTTTCCTGTTAGCAGGCCGATTCGGTCATCCTCTCATGATCCCAAGTCAGTCATCTGATCAACCATCACTCGCTGGTCAAATTTCTGTCACCATTAGAACTGCGACCGTTTTCCCGTTTATAGTATAAGGACTGTCAAAAAATCTCCCGAGGACTTTGCCTGTAGAAGAGGTAAATACCTGCTCGCGATCAAATGTAAACTCTCTCTCTCTCTCGGGATCAGACGCTAAACCATAAGATTCTTAAGATAGAAATGGGATCTGTCAATAACTTTAGTAGTATTAGCAGTATTTCGATAGTGGTATTTCAATATTTCGTACGACTGATGATGCCATTATTATTATCGTTATACGCTTCCATAGAGTCAAAAATTGATTTGTTTTACTTATACTTTCTTGTAATTTCGTTTTGTAGTTATAAAAGTAACATATTTCCGTTGAATAAATTTAACGTTTTAGAATAAAAGCAGTCGTTGAGTGCATTACCTCCGGGATTTCTCGTCTCTTTTACTTCCTTCCGCCCACATTTACCTTTATAAGTGGCGGAAAATCGCGCAAAGTCAGGAGGTTTCGTAATTGCAGGTGATGCCGGAAACAAGTAGAGGGCGCTTCTCGATTTCACACAAGAATTAGTGATCGGTTATGATGTAAACCTTTACTGGTATTGATGACTAAGGACTATCGATATCTATTAAATATCTTGAATAATTAATGTAAGTGATATTTAATCAACTAGATAAATTCATTGTGATACATTAAATTTTCACACAACGTACATAAATAAAATTTGTTGTTGACTACACTTAAAACTCTATACTTAGGAGACTGAAAATCACGAATAAATACAGTGTATTTGGCACTCGTGCCACGAACACTGTTCATACATGCTTTTGAGTTCCATAAGTATAGTGTTATAGGTGTAGTCAACCACAAAATGCAGTATGACAATTCGTTTATAAATAGCGATTATGGCATTAATGGAAAATTGGCCCACTCGCACCGCTCGTGTGCCAAACTTCCATTCATGCTATATTATAAATTAATTGCATAATATACAGGGTGGTTATAATTAAAGTTGCGCTACTCAGACATGTCTAGAGCCCGTTCTCGTGGACGTATTTTGATGAAACTTGGTATATATGTTATATGGACCATGCGAAAGAGGAAAATGCAAAAAAAATATTTAGTTTGAATTTTTACCACTAGGTGAAAAAATGGCACACGAAGAACAAGAAACACAAAATGGAAACACGCAAAAGGGTTTTATTCACAACATTTGTTCAATGTGCAATCCATTTGCATCAATTATACGTTCAAAACGTCTTTCGTCCACGAGAACGTGCTCTAGACAGGTCTGAGTAGCGAAACTTTAATTATAACCACTCTGTACTATTGTTTGTTATTATCACTGTAAACAGATCAGAGATCAGCAAACACTTTCATTTATATACTAAAATAGATAAAGATAAGTTAAGTGCATAATATGTTTGTTCACTAAGAAAGCCATTTCTATGCTTTACATTTAAATTTTTCCACGATTCCAAACCACTTACGAATGATTTTAAAACTAACCTTTCATCGTTGATTGATGTAATGGGCACGCCCTTAATGAAATTGTTAATATTAAAAAAGTTAAGCTCGTCTTTTACACGTTCTAAAAATGAACGTTGCATAACAATTTTAAAAATCAGAATTAGAAATTTCTAGAGATTTCAATACTGTAATTGTTTTTTCATCAAATATTTTTAATGCTAATGACACGTTCTGCTTTTGAATGCTATATGGATTAACTGCTGTAAATGCTAAATGAAGAGCAAGTTTATTAAGGAAGTTCTAATTTATGTAAAAAACCAAACTGTACTTTTAGAATATTTGAATGTAGTTTTGAATCTGGATATGTAAATTCTTTATTTTATTTATTTGATTAATGCAATGGCTTCAAATATTTTTAGTGAAATGAACAGTAGTTCAAAAGGAAATGCCATCGTTGGTATTAAAAGAAATAGAGATGTAATATTTACAAGTTTTACTCGTAGTAATTCAATGCATTTCTATCCATTCTGTTATCGTTCCTGTGTCCATCGTGTTACGCATCGTGTCACGCACGAGGCATGAGTAACACGATGCAAGCAGGAATTTTCAGCAAGTGCTATATTTTGAATCCTTAACTTTCAAAGCGAAAGACAAATAACGGCGGCACTTCCGGTTTGTTGGAGCACGATGTTAGACTTTTATGATTAGCAGAAATAGGTCATGTAACATAGATAAAACTTTGAATCCGGTTGCTGACAGTTTTCGATGTTTATTTTTTCGTATATATGGTACATTTCCCAGTAACATTATTATGATCGTTTATCTAGTAATCAGAATATGATTCTAGATACGAGGTAGAGTATGGAACTTGGTTATGCAATGTATCTAGCAGCCGTAAGTGTCGACTTTCGCAGCGTGTATTTTGCCCGTGTAGACTGTAGAGCATTCCGGAGTTTCTTAAGATTCCTTAGTACACGATCCATCCATCTGATGTGGCAATTGAAATGGTTCCAAAGATGTTCGATTAAGCTGACAGCCAGAAAATTCGGTGGCAAGGAGAGTAGCTTGAAATCTGCACCGTGCTCCTTCAAATATTCGCAAACTAGTCTGGCCACGAGGCAAGTCTTATTGTCTTGCTGAAAGATGTCATTGACCCGAAACGTAAATGTACGGGTGTAGCTGATCGGTAACAATCGACCGACAGCCATTTGCCTGCAGGATTCCTTCCACGGATATCGGTGGACTCGTGCTATGCCATTATATCATTCTCCAGACTGTAACGCTGCCTCCACCAGCCTGTCTCTTATTAACAATTCTGTCTGGATATCCGTTCACGAAAGTTTCACGCTAAGACATCACTTTCTTTCCACTCGGTGAAGCAGAAACTTTGACTCCGTTGCCCATCTTTCAAAATCCAACCATCGGCATTACTGTGCAAACGAATAGTGTTTTTTTGCAATGAACACCGGCTGCATGGAACGAAACGCGGACCACTTGCTCCGAGTCCGATGGACAACGTGGTTGTATGAAAACCTTCACGGTTTCCCTATGATTCATTTTGAAAGCCAGTTGTACAAGGCCGATTGGTCCTAATAAACCGTTTTAGTCGACGTTCATCTCTGGGGTTAATGTACTGTACGTGAGGCTTCACAATTGGCACGTGAGTCTATCAAAACAATCCCGTTAGTCTGCTCTTGGTACGTTTTCACTACTGCAGCACGTGATCATTTCATAAAGTCTACTATTTCGTAAATGTTGCCACTCTTCCATAGCTGATGATCGTTTTGTAGGTGTGTCAGGTGGCGTGCTTTGTCTATTATAACTTACTGACGGATATCTGACATCGAGCCTTTCATGCTTGCGGTGTGTGACGTCGATGTTTGATTTCTTCAATAAAGTGTCATAGTAATGCGACTACACAATGTATATACACGAATATATACATACCGTGAGTGTAAATTGGTTTTATACGAATATTACGTATTGTTTTAATTTTTTTAATTACTGGAAAAAGATTAAGATGAAATGACGATATAATATAGACGTATTAAACTTAATAGTACTTGATTGCCTTCTATTCTCGTTGTATTTGTGAGGCTATTTTTGAAGGGTTTTTCTTTTAGTTCGGAACCCCACTCCTGCTACACCAATATGTGAACCGCCGGGGAGGTTGGAAGTCTCCCTTTCCGGCGACCGGTCGTTAAACCTGCTCACTGTCAAGATGGCTTAAATGTTTCTTCTTCCCTATCCCGCGGTAATGGGATTTAATTGTTCGGATCGAGCGGAGGAGGGAGGAGTGCCGTCGGTAAGGTGACAGGCGATATACGAGTAAAATGAGGACACCAATTTAACAAGGAAACAACGATTTATTAGCTATCTACATAGACGGTACAATAACTATTATCGAGGGAAATTTCTGAGTCCCTAAAACGCGAAGGGCTGAGAGAGAGTTCACAAAAATTTGTTCCATACCTCTTCATGTCTTTAAATATTCTTGAGGAAAAAGGTTATGATATCCAACGGGTTTCGAACTGGTAGGATAAGGATAATAATTTTGTAGGACACAATATATCGATAAGACACAGTATATCAACAGGACACAATATTCGAGGAAACTGTAGTTGGCGGCTGATGAACGACTCCCCGAGAGAGGGAAGCAAGTGGCTTTTGTAGTTTCGTCGTGGGTGACGGGTCATGTGATCAATTGTTATGAGGTAAAAGGTACTTGGATGGGTTAAAGTTGTCCCCGGGCCCATGCTAACTATCAACTTTGGTGTTGGAATGTGGGATTATGTTCGAAATGGACGGATGTTTATTTTGAACGAAAGGGGAGACTGGAATTTTTCCCTTTTTTAAGTTAGGTTTTAGTTTAGTAGAATTTAAAGAAAAATTTAATTGGGGGTTTAGAAAAATGCGGGATATTAATCGGAAAATTCGGTAAAAATTCCGGATTTCACATATTTGTTAAGATGTTCATTGTGTGTTCCTGTATGGTTCGTTCTCTCAAGCAATTTTATACTTATTCATAACAAACTAAAATTTTTTTAATCATTTGATTAATCACACGATAAACAAACGAATAAGCTACATAAAATCTATGCTAGTACTTGTTTACATATTATATTAAGTTACCGGAACTGTTTTTTAAATATTGTATTATATCATTGTAACACCATTCTTAAATTTGATGCTACTTTATATAAATACAAATTATATCTACACGCGAAAGTACATTTATTTTTGAATAAAATTCTGTAAAAGATATTGCAAATTTGCATATTTAACCTTTTGCTAAATAATTAATAATTTACTACTTTTTAATAAAAGCAGTCGAGAAAAGCGGTGAAAAGTGTATTCAGAGAACGAGGAAGTTGTCTTTTGTTCACTTTACGTTGTCCCGAGAAACTGAGTCCACTTCGTCATAGAATTTTGTGGTAAGACTTTCCTGGTTCCTACTTACTTTCATTGTCATTACTGTCATTACTAAGCAAAATGTTATAAATGTATGCATTAGGGTAAATATGAAAATAATTGAACGATTGAAGAAGAATACTTTCATAAGTGTGGATGATTTTTATCATCATTTAATTTGAAACTTCTTTTAGACCCGTTATCTTTCGGTAATGACAGATTAGTTTTAAAACAGATTTTTCCTCTATTTTAAAAGGAATTTTATTGCATTTTCGTTATATTAATAAAAATAATTTTAAAATATTTGAAATAATGGCGTAAAAATTTTTGATTTTTATTTATTGTCCAATTATTTACCCGTTTGCTAACAATCAATGCGACTTTTATTTGATTTATTAATTTTTTAACGTATAGCCGAATAACCAAGACATTTCCGGGACTGTTTTGTAGTTGGTATTGGGACCAACTACGTAAACGATTTACAAAATTTTTTGTAAACAACATTTAATGTGGCAAACATAACCCAAGCTTTTACGGCTACTTTGGCTTTCCACCAATATCTTTAACCCATCGAAACACGCAAGATCCATAGCAACGAAAGTCGTCTATGAGCAAAAACACGAGAGAGAAGGCAAGAAAGTTATTACGAAATGATGAGTGGACTCTAATAAAGTGAAGAAAATTTGTCTCGGGGGCCATTTATTCCTTCGTAAACTATATACGCAGTTGACTTTGATAGACAAGCGACTTTGGAGTCAACCTACGCTCTGGGAGCCCCGGAAACGAATCCTACGAATTGTGCAAAGCCCAACAATTTTTCGGAGGTGTTATCTCTGATTTAGATATTTCGGTGCCCGTCCTTGACTACTCAGCAGCCACATTTTGGGCTTCGTTCCACGATGGTGTTGATTAAAACACGCTGTCTACAAGGCGGAGTCAATAAAGAAAGAAATACAGAGATGACTCGTCGGTGAACCCAGCACTGAATTATTGCAAAATTTCAATGTTTCGGAAGATTCTCGTCGATCCTATACACACAGAAAAAAAAAAATTAGGAAAATTCAGAAAATTGCTTGCTACCGCTATTTCTGAAACGAATCATCAAATCCGAAAACGTAATGTTTCTTGACACTGTACTGTTATATGAAATACTTTTATATTGGAAAATGCAACGGTAGGAAGCAATAATTTGAAAAAGACATCTGTGTCTTAAGAGAGCAATTTAGTCTTTTCAGTGGCTAACTGAGAATATTTTTTTAAGATATAAAATGTTTTTTTATATATCCAATTTACTATAACACAGTATTTATTAAAACACAGGAAAATATAACTTACAAATTAATATAAATTTAATTTGATACAACTCAACACAAGCGAGTGACTAAAAATCAGTTAATTAACCGCTAAAAATCGCACGAAGGATTTTGTTAATGTTATAAGTTTTAAGATCTTGTAGGGAAGAAAGTTATTAAAGCATCAAGCAATGTCGTCACCAACCTAGTACAGTATATATTCAATTATTTCTGTGTATTTTTTCGTGTATTAATTTTGTTTGTAGTAATTATTTTATCGAGGCCGAGAGTTTGCAAAGCCTGTTCTATTTGGCTTACAATATTATGTTCGTTGTCGAAATTTCTTCCATCGATTCTTATTAAACTTTGTCATTTTCCTTTATTGTGACGAGGAATCGTAAAATGTAATAACAAATGGGGTCAAGACTTCTTTTTCGAACTACGGTAGTTCCAATGTGACAATGTCCATGCTCCCTAATGCCATTGAGTGCGCCTAACGAAATTTAGGGAAAAAAAAGAATTGAGCGCACCTATCGGAAATTGGCCACCAAAATCCAAGAAAACACAAGAAGAAAGCTATGAAAAGGATCACCTGCTCGTGCCTGTCAAATTCAAAGCTTTTTCTGTTCGTATCTGACAAGTGTAAGGAACACACACACACACACACACGGTGTCGGNTAGAATTATTAAAATTCTAATACAGTAGAGCGTCGTTTATCCGAATCAATTGGGAACTGCGGTTGTTCGGATAACTTATTTTTCGGTTAACCAATTATGTACAAAAAAACATATTAACCTATCCCATGTTGAAATTTTTCTCCGTTGCGTGTCGCTTCGCGTTGAATTTTCGTCGATGTTAAGTCTAATGTAAACTTTTTAAAATAATAATCGTGGCTATTGTATCATTAAAAATTATTTCTCTATTTTTTACAAACGAATTAAATATATTGAAAAATATAAAAACAAAAAAAATTATACTTTAGAAGTTGATCTAGTATCAAAAACGTTCGATTCAGCACAACACACAGTCCTCAGAAAAACACCACACAAATGTGCCAGTGCTGCCAGCTAAAACACACATATCAACAAAAAAATATTGGAGTAGGCCAAGATATAGCCAAAAATTGCAGCGCCACAGCACTAGCGAAAATTTAAATTTGCCGACAGGAACTCTTTCGGATAAACGACGCTCTACTGTATGTCACTTCTTCCTTGTTGAATGGTGATCTCAATTTACTCCTTCGAAAATCACCCAGGTAAATACGCGTTTTAATACAATTGATAATCTGTTTAAGATAACAATTTTGGATGGTTACAAAAAACATAAAACTAGTGAACAGGCTTATTATACTCCCAGATTCTCATTAGTCCTAAGTCACTATGTTTTGTATTTAATTAATACAGGCAAGTATTAAATAATTACAAAAACGTTCGCTTTTTGGTAAACTGAAATATTTACTATTTTATGATGTAGAGTTTTACTTTATTCCCTTCTAATAATTTAGCCGTCAATTTTTTAAATTCAGAAACGAGTCCTTTTCCACTTATTGTAATTGCTTGAGATCCATGTGTCAAAAATTTAATTTATTTCTATACTTTCGAAACGCATCTAAACTATTTTGATAAATATCGAGCTTTTCTGTAAATAAGTTTATTTGACCTGCATCTCTAATAATCACTCTGATGGCTGTACGGTTTTTATTTGCGATATGAAATACAGGTAACCCCCGTATAACACGGTAGTTACGTTCCAAAAAATTGCCGTGTTATGCGAATCAAAGAACTAGTACGAAAAGGAGGGTTAGGTTCCAAAAATTAAAAAACATGCTACTATATTTTCATAATTAAGTTAGACATCTTTATTAAAATTTTCTTAAGTGATACATATTAATATAAATTAAACAATGTTTTCTTTGTCATCACTAAAAGCACTATTAACCGAGAGCGTTTTATTTTTGGCAAGTTATCGTTATCCTCTGAGCATTTTTCTGCATTATTTTCAGATTCATGCTTTACCTTTTGCAAAAAGTGTGTATGTAATTTTAGATTGCTTGCTTCTAGTTAAAAGATCTTTATAAATTTCCTTATATGGTGCTAAGCACCACTTATGGAATAAGGGAAAAACATCTGGCAACATCAGAAGCAGAAGCCTCGAGATATGGCAAAATTGAAACAATTTTCGCGAAGGACCATGTGTATGGAGACGAGAAAAGAAAATTTACACACTGAAGTACAAACAGTTCACGAAAATAATAATTTTCGTGAACTATTATTACTTAAGTATGTAAAAATTTATTACATTTCCTGTTGTACGAGGGTTTTACCCATTTCTCGAACCGTGTCAAAGTGAATCCGTGCTATAAAAGTACCGTGTTATACGGGGGATGGTACCAATTCTCGAACCGTGTTAGAGTGAATCCGTGCTATAAAAGTACCGTGTTATACGGGGGATGGTACCAATTCTCGAACCGTGTTAGAGTGAATCCGTGCTATAGAAATGCCGTGTTATACGGGGGTTACCTGTATTTATTACACACTGAATAGTATAGTTAGGGTTTGATATTCTGTGTATTATGAATATAAGTACACGAGGAGAAAAAATAATTTCGTTTTAGTCCGTAATATTTTTTTGTATACTGCTGCCAAAAACTCATTTCTTAGCTACGGGAGAAGGATCAATACACATTCGAGATGCAACACGCGGGCTCTATTTTCATTGTAGGAAAAAGTATAGTCGTTTAACATTAATTCGAGTTTCGAGTTACAAATTACGAATTATTTTAGAGATAAGATAATTGTTTCATCATTGCATAATTATGCCAACTAAATTGATGAGACTGTGTTCGTCTTTTGTATACTTCCATGGAAACTCAAGAGACTAAATAAACTAAAATTCGAATTATCCGATATCGAAAAAAACGAGACTTATTCTAGTGTAGTTAATGTAATTGACGCAGACAGTAACTACATTACTAATGCAATAATTTTATTTACCTAAACAATAACTATCAGCTAATACTAAATAAGCTTAATTCTAAATAATTATATGTTTTCGTAGGAAAAGTGAAATGATCATAGGATGTGTTTTTTTAGAACGTTAGTGTCGATGTGCCACAACGACGCGAAGAATTTCGTAGATCGTAGACAATAGAAAATGCAGAATGTTGCGCTTCGCTCACCTGAAATATTAAAAGATTTTAAAATTTAGAATTTAAATTTACCCGTAATTTCAGAAATTCCTACCTTTAAAGGAGTTATTTTGGTAATGACAAAGAAATCGCCACAGGTCATGCCGAGAGGAATCTTTCCGAATTTCTTCATGAAATTCAGTATCTATATGAAAATGTCATGTTTAATTAATAGAGAGAATCATTTAAGTAATTACGAATGTGCGAAATGATTACTTTTAACTTCTTAGTGATGCAGATTTGCAGATAACTGAATTTCCTGATTTCTTGAAACGATCCGTAGGCCTAAACATAAAAATGATATTAGTGAATTTATAATGCTTTCATTGCCAGCCATTTTTGTACTAATAACGTTTTGCGCTCATTGTATTATGATAAGAATTGAAAACAACATAGATACTGTTATTACATAAATAGCATTATTAAACAAAATAGTTAGATGCAATTAATGCATTCTACATTTATGCAACGCTAGGATACTTACAGCAGATGAAACGGTAGAAATAATGAAGATAAAATAAAGCCATCCGCTTACGTAGATGC